GGGGGGGTAATAGTTAAAACTTTCAACAAGTAGCGTATTGCACTGCCAGAAACACAGCATTGATTTCAGTGGCAGTTTCCTTTCCTGTGAAGCCACAATGGTGACCAGCAGCTATCAAATCAGTAGCTGTGGAATGACTGACCCTTATAGGAATTATACTGAGTAGGGCTGGGTGATATGGGCCAAAAATCATATTTCGATATTTTTTAGCTGAATGGCGATGTACGATATATATCTCGATATTTTTTTCACATAAAGTAATGACAAAAAGACAGTTACAAATCAGAGCCAAATCTACCCAGTGTCACAAAGGCACTTTTAACAGACAAAAATGAACTACCAGCATATATTGTTTTACCAACCAGCCCATTTTCGCTAGCTTACCTTGTGTCTGTATCTGTCTCCAGATTGTCTCTGCATACAGGACTTGTGAGTGAGGGGGAGGGGCGGGGTGGGGCACAACTGTACAAGAGCCAGACAGGGAGAGGAGAAATAGGCAAACTGGCAGCTCTGCGAGTATAACTTTAAAGCAACATAAACTATATTGATATAAATTATACTGTCTCGTCCTATATCTCATATGAAAGTATATCAATGTATCTTAAAAGCTCGATATCACCCAGCCCTCACACTGAGTATGAATTTGTATGAATTTCATCATTTACAGTTTGGGTTGCAAAGGGTCGGCAAATTTCCAGAAACTTTCCATTCCGTGGGAAGTTAAGATGGGAATTTCGAAAATATTCCAAGTTGGAAACTTTCCATGGGAATTACCAGGAGTTTATGGGAATTAATGCAAAATTCCCAGAATTCTGTAACTCTATTTACAATAAGCCCAGTAACTTGACAAAAACTGTCTGGAGATCAGGAGCTGTTTTTTTTTTTATAAATTGCACATTTATCTAAGCGGTAAATATATGCTATATAAATGTAGTATATATTTATAAATACATATTTATATACCATATATTACAGAAGACAACTTGAAGTGGTAGACGAGAGCTGAGAAAACAAAGATATGTTAACTTTATCCTGAGTAAACCTTGAGTATTTAAATGGTAGTAAAATAAAATGCAAACTATTATTTAAGACTCTGAATAAGGAGTTTTGAAGGGCTTTGGTTGGAGATGTGCCTTTCAAAAACATGGCTATTTATTCTGCAGTGTTAAGGGGCAGTTTGTATGTAACCCCCTGTAATGTACAGTAAATACAGTGTCCTCCACAGGCAAGGCTCAGAAAGTCATCCATAGGATTCCTAATAACGTTATGTTTTTATTTTATTATCCCGTACCAGAGTTTCGGTTACAAAGACAAAAGCTCAGTTAAGTGGCTTTACATATTATCATGAATCTCTCCACTAGACATTACCGTTTAATTTACTGTAAAAAGTAATTTTCGATTGCGCAAGACCTGATTTCATGGGTCATGTGCGGTTAACATATAGCCGTCATTCTGTACTTTCAACCTGTCTTTACATTTTCTGGAGGATGAGTTTCACAGAAAACGAATCATTGTGCTGTAATGTGTAAGTGTCTGGCACCTTATTCGTCATTTGTAGCAGATTTCAAAGAAAAAAAAAAACAGTTAAAAAAAAATAGCGATGAAAGGCACTGTCTCCGGACACATTTTGTGTTATTCTGGGAATTGTAAAAAAAAAACGGAAAATGTAAAAGAATAACTGAAATGAACTGGATGTAAAATGTAAAGATGTATCTGAAATATTTAGAAACCACAGAAGGAGGACAGACGCTGTAAAATATGTCATACTCTATTTAGGGGTATTTTGTTTGTTTTTTTTTCTGTGTAATTTGTGTAGAATAGTGTATCATACCTTCAAATATCAGTGTTATTATGTAATTTAAGAGAAAATAAGCCGTACACGAGATGTATTTGTTGTATATGACATGTCTATCTCGACGTACAATTGCTTATCTCAGAGAGAGTAACATTTGATGTTGATGTCCAGTGTTTTTTTCCCCCTTTTTGTTACATTGTGTTACTTTGCTTTTTATGGACTTTAAGCCCTCTCGTTATGATGATGTGAACCATATGGCCCACCTTTCAAGCAATCCAGAGACGTTTTTGGGAAGCCGTCTGTTCCCATCGCGCTTCTCCGTAAAACGCAAACAGCTTTTCAGAGTAAAAACCGGACATGCGGAAAAACCGGAGAAACTTATGTACACACACACACACACTTTGCAATTAAAGCTCTTATGAAATGTCCTGTAAACTATCAGTGTCGTGTTTTTTTTTCCATGCCGAGCTCCATGTTTAATCACTGACAGAGGTGGAAGCCTGGATTACTTAGGCTACATCTTAGTACTTTTTACTATGTTTTTCTGAGAATATCAACAAATCAGAAGAGGTGCAGTTAAGCTGGTGATTTGAAATGTATTAAACAGAAAATTAACTATATTAAACCAACAAAAAATCCTGTATGTTATCACATTTTGCCTATAAATGCTGACAGAAAGTATGTGGGCTGTACACAATATACACCATATGGACAAAAGTATTGGGACCCTATTGAATTCGGGTGTTTCATTTAGACCCATTGCCACAGGTATATAAAATGAAGTACATAGCCATGCAGTCAGGGTTATGAATATTTGTGAAAGAATGGGTCATTCTGATAAACTCAGCGAAGTATGGTGCAGTTATAGGATGCCGCCTTTGCAATAAGTCAGTTATTCTACCGTCAACTGTCAGTGGTCGTACTGCAAAGTGGAAGCATTTAGGAACAACACAAACTCAGCCTCGAAGTAGAAGGCCTGTAAAGTAACAGAGGTCGCTGAGTGCTGAGGCGCATAGTGCGTAAAAGTCACCAACACTCAGTTGACTGAATAACTGCAGAACTGCAAACATCCTCTGGCACTGACCACAAGGCACAAACTGTACACTGGGAGCTTCATGGAATGGGCGTCCATGGTTGAGCAGTGACATGGAAGCCTCACATCATCAAGTACAAAGCCGAGCGCTGGATAGAGTGGGGTAAAGCACGCCGCCACTGGACTGGAGCAGTGGAAACATCTTCTCTGTCTGGCAGTCTGATTGACGAGTCTGGGTTTGTCAGATGCCAAGAGAACGTTACCTGCCTGCCTGCATTGTGTCAACTGTAAATTTTGGTGGAGGAGGGATAATGGTATGGGGCTGTTTTTCAGGGAACTCTTAATGCTTCAGAACACAAAGACATTTTGGACAATTCTATGTTTCCAACTTTGTGGGAACAGTCTGGGGACGGCCTTTTTCTGTTTCAGCATGACTGTACTCCAGTGCACAGAACAAGGTCTATAAAGACAGGGTTGGGTGGGTTTGTCATGGAAGAACTTGATTGGCCCACACAGAGCTCTGACCTCAAATCCATCGAACACCTATGGGGTGAACTAGAATGGAGATTGTGAGCCAGGCCTTCATGTCCGACATCAGTGCCTGACTTCACAAAAGCTCATTTGGATGAATGGGCAAAAATTCCCACAGACACACTCCAAAATGTTGTGGAAAGCCTTCCCAGAAGAGTGGCAGCTGTTATAGCTGCAAAGGGGGGACCAACTCCATATTGATGCCTATGGATTTAGAGTGGGATGTCATATAAGTTCCAGTAGGTGTAATGGGCAGGGGTCCCAATACCTTTGTCCATATAGTGTATGAACTGTTGAAATATATTTAAGGCCAATGTTCATATGAGATTCAGTTACAACTCTAAAGATGGCAAAATCCAGGCCAGATGCTTCCTTTTCTCATCTGACTAGCATTCCTGCTGTTTTGTCCAGATTTAACTCAAAGAGATTAGGAGTATTGCCTTGAACCTGTGAAGTGATGCTCTTACTCTCATGATTTACTGATAACAATCAGCACTGGAGCAACATCACATATCTGCAGCTCTAGATGTTGATGTAACTGGAGAAGACACCCAATTAGCATCAGGATCTGCCTATTTTGGGCCCCATGGTCTGAAGTAGACTTCTCTTTTGAATTTAGTATGGATTTCATAAATATACGAGAAACCATTGTTTCCATATCACATCTACGAATCATTTTGTGCAGTCAGCCTCATTTATCAAAGGGAGCTGCAGAGGAGGACAGAATCACATAGGTGAAATAACATTTGGTAATTTAGTAAGTGCCTTGAAATTTAACAAAATCCATGAATGTTATGTGGCCGGTTTTTGAAGACGGCCATATTTTAGATTTTTAGCATTTGCTGGAGCAAGGATTGGGCTGCAATCAGATATTACGTAGAATTTATAGGGTGGAAATGCATAGAAATACAACAAAAAGTGGTCTAATGTTTAGCTACCGATTTATCTATTAGGCTTAGGGTTAGGCTTAGGTTTACTGATTTGTTGTCGAGTTTAAATATAGTTGCATAATAACATGAGAAAACGGTCTGTGAGAAAATAACACAGGCCTAAGCCTAAATATAGGCCTAATGCTTCTGAAAAACATCTTAAACATTTACTTTTTAATTTTAAAAACTGACTAATTGAAAAAGGAGAATAATAAATGTTCACCACCTTCGATACACATTCTGCTCTGTATTTTATGGCTACGTTTAAACTATCTAGCTAAAGGGACTCAAATTAGTTTTTTTGCCTGAATGTGACTCAGATCCGATCTTTTCAAATCATATTTGTATCACTTTCATATGTGGTCCTACATCAGTATGTATTTGATTCGCGGCCATGCGACATGGATATGAACGGTCAAATCCGAATCCATGTGGATTTTGCCCTATACGCATGCGCTGACCATTTTTTGTTGTTGGTAACGCAGATGACCCATGCAAAAATATATCAATGTCTGTGTCCAAATTCAGGGGCTGGATCTTTTAAAGGTTGCGGTCGAATCTAGCAATTTAATGGCAGATAGTCCGCTAATATGCTTTAATGCAAATGTTAATTTGATACTGAAGTGCTGATAATATACAATTTTTTAAACGTCTTACCCTTTTTAAGTACATCACATACAGTCTATTCTGCTGCAACTATACTGAATTGCTAGTACATGACGCTGTAAAAAAAATGGTCCTTTAGAGATAACAGAGTTGACGAGACTACGCGGCTCTGGTAAATCTGATCTAAGCAAAAAAATCAGCATTTGACAATAAGGCTTTGTGATATGAGCATAGGCCTATATAAATTGAAGAAAAACATATTGGTATGAGGAGGACTGGTGTGATCCACTGTGTATAGAGGCCTATTAAGTGTGGAATTCTGTGTATTAATTCCATTGTATGGGATATGGTCCACCTGCAGGTTTTATCTCAGAGTACGCCCCCCCCCCCACACACACACACACACACACCGTCCTGTCTATAATGGGTTACATTCTTGCCTACCTTCACTGCCTCCCAGTGACGTTCCCTCTGTGAAATCTCACATGCACAGGTCAGCTCCACACACATTAACAAGAGACACAATGAAACCCATTGCCCAGTGATATTAATTTTCATTGTATTACTGTAAGTTGTCATTTGTGTCAATGTGATTACAGAAATCAAGCACAAATCTACTGTCACAGCCCAACCCAATGATAATACTTTGGAACAATCATAAACACCAGGTATCATGAGCAATGTTAACTGTAGATTTTTTTTTTCCATTAAATGTCATTTACAGGCTGGTGTGGTGGGACAGTGGTTAGCACTGTTGCCTGGGACCAGGGTTCAAGCCTCTGCTTAGGGCTCCATGTGTGGAGTTTGCATGTCGTAGTGGGACTTTCATTGGGTACTCCAGTGTCCACTACCCCCCCAGTTCTAAAATATACTAAGGCGTATTAGCCTTACAAAATTGCCCATAGGTCAGTGTTCCCTGTGATGGGTTGGTACCTCATTGTGGGTTACTCCATGCCTTGTGACCATAGCTTTTAAGATGGGCACCAGACCCACAGCTGTGAATATGACAGAACATTCGTTTTGTCTGTTTAAGGTGGAACAGATGTTGCGAATAAGAAACTGCTGATTTTGTCCATAGGAACAAAAGTTGCTAGCCTAATTTCTCTCTAATGCAGTCCATGATGCCTTTCATGGCAAACCACAAGATGTCACTGCCTGAGCATGCCTGTTGAAATCAACTTGAAAGACACCAGCAGACAAGTAAGTTAATTCACAAGTTCAGAGCACAGCACTCCTGTGTGCTAATTGCTCTGTTTTTTTGTCCTATAGTGACATTCAGTGAACTATATCTGATAGTATATCATACTGTACATAATGTGACACCGGGAACACCAAGGCATCGCAAGCATAACAAAGAACAATAAGACTTGCTTGGCAGAACAGAAATTTTATTTCCTAACAAGACTGTAACAGGCACCCGACAAACCCAAATACCCACAGCCGAAACACAAAGTGGTCAGACGTCGAACGTAACGATCACACATGGTGGGAGGGTTATACAAGCCAAGAACACGAATCGGACAGGGTACACACAAGACACAGGTAAACATACACACCACGATCGCTAAGGCAACTATAACCATAACAACAACGATACAAGGGCTATATACAGGAGCGCTGGCGAGGCATGCCGGGATGCGCAGATCTCACCGGTACGACAATACTCAATAATACGACAGTACGAATAATAAACAATACGACAATAATCTTTAGCAATTTGCAGCGAGCACCAAAGCAGCTTCTTTCCTTTGATTACTGGTCATGGGAAATGTGGGATTCTGTGGGAGAACTGTCTGGCGCCGGTGTTCTGTCGAAATATGCTGCCTTGTCGAAAAATGCTACCGTAGTGCTAATAGATAGCCCTTACCCTAACCCTAGCCCCCCAAAACCCCTAAAACCCTTACCTTAACCCTAACCCTAACCCCTAAAACCTAACCCTAATCCCAAAATGGTGGAACTGCACATGCGCAGAAAGGCTCGATAGCACGTCTCGATAGGTAGTATTTTTTGACAGAACACCGGCAAGGCAAAGTTACCTAATCGGGACCGATAGAGGGAGCGACAGAGAACGTCAGCGGCCCTTATGTATCTGTAGCCTTCCACAAGGACAAGTACTAACCGACTAACTAGAGTGAATGTCAAACATGTGGTTGTCACGTAGATGGAAGGTACCGAGAGTGGGGGGGATGCCCAAATGGCTTTAAAAGGGATACAGCTGATACATATGGCAGAGCTTCCTCCTGTACATGCTGAATGTATGTCAGATGGTCGCTCCCTGATTATAATCAGTCAAGAGAATAAACCGGTGATTTGCAACTTCTCCCCGTGTCAGCGGTGAATCTCTTCTCATCCACGGACCCGGTGGAGACGGCCAACTCCAACAGAAACGAAGTTTACAAGGAGCAAGCTGGGCCTAACAGGATGGGTCACGTGATGTACTTGTACGTAATTGATAGGATATATTATGGTGACGAAGGTTCTTAAAATGACAGAAAATTAATAAATTGACACATTTTATTAAGTATTTTAAATATTTTTTAAAAGAAACATAATTATATTTCATATTGTATGATTAAAGATGACACTAATATAGTTTAAAATCGGCCGGCAATACCGGTATGATCGGTATATTGTGCATCTCTACTTGTTTGTTCCATCTTTATAAAGACAATTACCCTTTGTAATGCAAAATATAATAATAATAATCTCATATTTTACCCAGAATCATGCAGCCATGCATCCTCTTTTTAGGTTGCTGTCGTAGGCATAAAAATCATGTAATATTAGCCAAATAATAACACCAATGCAAAAGGTACACACGGTGCACTGCAGGGTGTAGTCCAAGTAACTGAACAAGTCAAGTCACCAACATTTTCCTAAGTAATCCGGAGGGTGGCTATTCCTAAAAACGGAGGATCCATCTTTAGCCTGAAGATGGCGCTGTCCACCACCTCGCTTACTTTATCTAACCCTCGTGCTTCTCCAATCGTATTCTGAGTTCAGTTGGGGGCGGCGTCTTCGCATTCCAGAGGGTCACTTGACCTGACGTTGTGCGCTTTCCTGTGCCTTTTTTCTAACTGACTGATAGTCACTGATCGGTTTCCTCTGTTTCTTGCTTAAAATAAGTCTGTTAAGAGCAATGGCGCAAGATATGCTTCTGTTCTGGGGCTCCGGCTCCCCTCCGTGTTGGAAAATCATGATCGCCTTGGAGGAAAAAAACCTTCAGGGCTATCATAACAAACTAT